CCCCAAAACCCCAAAACCCCAAAACCCCAAAACCCCTTTATTCGGAATTTGGATTGAAATTTATGCTCAAAGCTAAAATAAATGAAAAATGTCCTCGCTTCGTTGTAGGCTACATTAACTCAATGACTTATTCATGAGACGCCCTCAAATCACTATTGGTCAAGAAAAGCTGCTTACTAAGTGCTGTTCAGACGGAAGCAAGATGCTTGAAATTTTTGAACTTTTACTTTTCTGTGATACTTGCCTATACGAATAAATTTAGGCTCAAATTTCCCAAAATATGCAGTCAGAGCTTACCATTTGTTCTAGATTTAGCCGTTTTTGCCTTCTTCTGATTCTTTAGTAAGAATGACTCATTTCTTAAAAATTTGAAGATTTTAAGGTCTCTGGAAGTACTGATCGATGAGATTTTAGCTAAATTCCTTCTACATTTTTCTCTAATTTCTTTTGATTTTGGACCATCTTTTCTGCTGGAACACTTTCGATCCGATGTTTTTAGGTCTTCCTGGACATCTTTCTGTCCATATAGATTAAGTCCCTTCTGCTTTAGAGACAACAGGCTTTTGCTGAGGCTCATTTCATAACTTTGAATGTGATTTATGCTCTTTCTAACTGCACTTAATGACTGGTTTGGATGCTGAATTTTAGCTCTAAATATATCAAATTGTGCTTTAGAATATGAGTTACATTGGTTTTATTCGATTTTGAGGTTTTCTATTCGCTTGGAGTACTCCTTCTAGACATCAGTTGATAGTCTTACTTCGTCCAGAAATGTTTTTCACTGGAGTTGAAAGGAGAAATTTCTGAATTTTGGTTTCTTCCTTTGTAGGGTTTAAGTTGTTTGTAGCTATAGGGACAATAAGAACTCATCAATAAGGTTTAAAAATACTATAATTTTAAATCCCGTGATACTAAGTATCCAAGCTTTCTCATCTCTAAAGTTGGTATCTTTGTAACAAATTTCCTTGAGAATACTTACAAGTTCTGCCAGATCCCATCGTGGGGAACCATAAATCATTGTATGACTCTCCTTGGCTACTTAGTCTGGCTTGCATGAAGCAATCATCTTGTCTCTCCTTAGATATCTTATTCTTAGTATCATGAAGGTTAGTGGTCAAACTATGGTCCTACACTTTACCAAAGGGGCATACTAGGAATGAAAATGTGCTTGAATCTTCCAAATAATCCTCATTTATTGGGGATTTAGCCTTAAAAAATTTGGAACCTATCATCAGGGGTTAAAGCCAGGTTCAGAGAAACCAGCTTACTTTTCTCAGGAAGTCTTGGTTTGGCTTTGGTTTCAGATTCCTGGGCCTCTGTTGATTGATGGAAGGGATTTATTAGAAGTACTTGCGATTTGTTCTTATTTCCTTGTGTAGCTCGAGTTTTGAAGTCTGAACCTGTTCCAGGCTCCTTCTTCTAAATGAAGCTTAGAGGTTCTAATTAAGGAGATGTGTTTTGGTAAAATCTTGGTGTATGGGTTAGTAGTTAAGCAATTAAGGGGGTTTGAGTTTTAAGAGAAAAAGAAGAAACCATAACCGATGATTTTTATTTCTTTTAACTACTTAAAATTTGGTTAATGTTGTTTGAAAGTGGAGACAAGGCTGCCGACTTGCTTACCTCGGTGATCGATAAATCCTTGTACGTAATCCTTCAATACTGCTTCATCAACTGCAACAGATAGGAACTCACTACTAGAGTTTAGATCATGACAATTTTCCATTTTTATTTCTTATTTTCAAGTTTGTTTGAGAAACCAGGGGTTTTGGGGTTTTGGGGTTTTGGGG